GATAAAGCTTAATGACAAACCAGCAAATACTGGTTAACTATTTCAACCGATCAATTCCTGCAAATATAACTAAAGTGTAAGGAAGAATTATGAAATTTAATAATTATTAATTAACAATAAACCGATTTTTTGTAACTTTTTGCCCACTCATATTGAACAATATTATATGTAAAATTCACTTTCTTAAATAATCTTTTCCAATGTTTTATTATTTCAATTTTCGATGAAAAAAAATTTGTGCAAATTTATGTTAAGAAAGTTGAAAATTTGTGTTAATAATTAACTTGGTAGGTTGATTTGTTAATTATTTGATAATATTAAATGTATAATTTGCCTTATTAAATTTATTTTCCTATAAATATTACAATTTTAACATTCAAAGAGTAATAATTTTTGTTCTATGAGTATTAATGTCTGAAAAATTAGGACATTCGATGTACTATTATTGTCAGCTAATTTTATGTTTGATAATGCTTAATCATTACTGTATCATTGAGATATGTCCTAATAAGAAAGTTTTTGATAGAAGAGAATCAACCATTGATTAAAATAATGGTTTAAAAAAAATGAATCTGTTAGAAAACATACCTATGGTTGCCAAAAAGGCTACCAAAAATAGTTCGCGATATTGTGTCAAGATTGATGATAAGCGGATTCGATGATTTTAATGGACTTGTCGTTGCTAATTGAATAATCAATTAGTCAAAGTTATATATTATTTTGTTTTCCATTTCACTAACTCATTTTCCTTTTGTTTTAAATCGATTATCATCATAATTTAAAATAAAACATAAAGTTCAAATTCGAAATCCCTTCTATTCAAAACATATGCTTTTTTTTATTTTTAAAATATCCGATAGATAAAGAATAATAAAACATCCAATAAATTTGTTCGAAAAAAATTGAAATAACAAAATTGAAATAAATTAAATTAAAATAAAACCTGAATTCTCTGGTTGCAAAGGTTGTGGTTGCCATTGTTGCTGTTGTCGTAGTAGTAGTTGTTGCTGTTGTTGTTGTTGTTGTAGTAGTTGTTGTTGTAGTTGTTGATGTTGTTGTAGCTGTTGATGCTGTTGTTGTTGATGATGCATTGACTGTGAGGGATTACCGTTGATAAATGATGTTGCTAGTGAATGATGCGGAACATTTTGCCCTTGATATTGTGCGTTTGTTACCTGTAATTAAATGATGTGAAATTTAAGTTTTAAAATGGAAAGAAAATCTTTTAACTGTTCGAAATGATAAATTGATTGATTTATTTTATTTTATATTTTTTGTCTTCGATTCCATTCTATATAGTTGTATTATTATTATATACAGTTAATAAATAATGATAAATACAATTTGAATTTTTAAAAATTCAATTTAAAAAATTTCATTTTTTGAAATTTATAATCTTTTTGAAATTTTCCAACAAAATTAGTAATAAATAGCGTGCGAAAAAGGAATGAGCCAAAACGAATGGACTAAATAAATAATTGAAATTTGAAATAAATAAGAAATATTTCGAATTCTTTTTGAATTAATATGAATCGATTAATATCATGGAAACAATCTTTCATTTGTTGAATTGAATCAACAAGTATTAAAAAAAATTAATTTAATTTACTTAGAATAATTTAAATTATTTACATGCAGATGAGGATTCAATTGTTGTAATCCATTTGTTGCTCCATTGTTATCATAAGTATCAGATGCATATGCTCGTTGCTGATAAAAATTATTTTTAGAAAAAAAATCAAAAAATTTCCTCACTTTAAAACCTCATTCTCATTAAAATTCTCGTACTATTCGACTTGATAATTCGAATCACTAAATTGCAATGAATATTTGAAATTCATATTTGTTGATTGAAAGTTTTGAAATTTAAATT